ACAAATTTTTTTCCAATATCGTTATAACATAATACATATATATATTAAAAAAAAAATCAATGTTATACTTTTAAAGGTACTTACGTAACATTAATATAAAGATTCAAATGCTGTAAGCTTTTTATTTTATCGACTATAAGTCTATAACCACTCAACACAGATATACACAAAAGCAGACTCGCTTTTTGCAATGAAAATGAAGAATCCTCAAGTCCTTAAAACAATAAAAGAGAAAGAAAATGAAGACAGAAAAATCTCTCTTTTTCACTCACTGCAAATACCAAAAACACCAAAAAGTACTCAAAATTTTCCAATCTTCAAACACTGCGTTGTTGATTCCAGCTAGGAGGAATGCGATCAGAAGTGATGGGAGTAGCAGCAGGAAGACTTTTTACGTTGATGTTAAGAGGATATAACCGATATTCGATATCCAACTCTCTGCATAATCTACCAATCTCTTCAAGTAATTGACCTCTCCTCACATATCTCTCTCCCATATTTTGATGATTCATCTTATGTGTTGGCCACATTGCGATCTTCACACTGTTTAATCCACACATATCTCTAAACACAATCATCGGCGATGGATGCCAATGATCCTTCTTGTTATCTACATAGCTGCATAAACACATAAAAAAAATCATATTAAGTGATGTTTTTAAAATGTTTAGGATTGAGGGTTTAGGGTTTTAGCTACTAACCTGAGTATCCTCTGTCTTAAGGCAGTTGTCTTTTCAGGTGGAGTTGCTATATGGACAAAGAATTCAATGGCATCTTGCATATCAGGACTGCGGTAATAGTTAGCGATAGGTTTTGTTCCGAGAAGACTGTTTGGATATACAATCTTCTGATTATCAAATCGAAGAAAGACAGTAGTCAAAATGTTCATCTCTTCCACAATCATCTATACATAAAAAAACAGAGGATTAGCTCTTTCTTTAAGTTTTGATGCATAACGAAGGGTAAAAAAACAGAAACAGAGTTTCAAGGGACAAACCTGGACACCGTCTATTTCACACCTGTCACCGACATCAAATGGATGCATAACGAAGACGAAGATGACCGCTTCAAAGATGGTTTTACATGAATTTCCAAACACAAAGACTACAAGAAGAAGCTGAGAGCTTATGACAAGCAAGAACTTGGTTGTAGCGATTCCCAGAATGAGAAGCCAGATGATTAAAATCACAATGCTGACCAATACATCAACGATTCGATGAAGCCTGTTCACTGCTGTTTTTGTATCGTTTAATGTTAAAGCTAGTGCTCTTCGTTCTCTAAAGGCATTAACCTAGAAAAAGATTTAAGAATCTAGCATCATTGTCATACGTAAGAAAGTTTTTGAAATTTGAACTGAAAACAAACACTTACCACCCAATTCTTCAGACAAGATTTGCTGATTTTGTGACATTCAGAAGCTCCTTCAAATAGATCCATTGCTCTTTCAGACTCATCTTCGGACAGAAAACGCATAAAGTCTTCCATATATATGTACCTAAGACCCGGAAAAAAATACTCTGTTTCTATCTTGATCTCTTAACAAACATCAAATCAAAGTTGTTCATAAGATTATAATATATATACCTGGATCCAGGCTCAGCAACATTCTGAAAAATCTTCCTCGCTGCAAGTTTTGCTTCGAATTCACTTCTTATCTGTGTGGCCTTATCATCTTCCTGAGTCGTCGTGTCTTGTATCTGTTCATCTAAAGTAGAAAGAGTTCCTTTTTTGATAACATTCATCAGTTTCTTCATTTTCCAAGCTGAAACGTTCTTAGTGTTCATTCTCTGCAAATGATCGATCCGTATCCCTTCTTCCCCTCCTTCTTTCTTAGAACCAGACCGCGAAAGCACCGGACTTTTCCCAACTCTGCTTGGACTCTTCTGCAGCCTTCCGCTTCCAACAGTCACTTGTGGTGGAGAAGAAACCGCCTTTGGACCTAGAGGAGATAGCTTACGTCCAACTATCTCGAAGGTTTTAACATCATTTGCTACTTTCTCCTCTTCTATATGAATCTCAATACGAGGAGGTCCCGAGAGCGTCTCAATCACGTATTGAGTAAACAACGATTCTTGAATCCGATCGAAGTAAGTACTCATATGGAAAGAGGAAGCAAGAACTTTAACCAGTAAAGTCTTTATGAGCCAGATGATAACAGCAACAAGTAAACAGATTAATACTTTAGTCACATACTTAAGCACAGTACTTCGCATCTCTCTTTCAACTTTCTTGTCGAACAAGAAATGCCATGCGATCAACACAAGCCCTAGCCATAGACAATTCTGCACCGGCTTTCGAATCCCGTAAACGAAATACAAAACCTTTTTCCTCCAAAGAAAATTGCTTTCAACGAAGTAAACGAATAGCTTCACAATCCAACTAGAAACCAATCTCCCACATATCAAGACAAGAACCATCACTTCCCATTTCCATAGAGCTAGGTCCCAAAGTGTCTTGCCACGCAAGTAAGGTATGACTAGGCTACAAATCAAACTAGCAATGATCAAAATCAGAAATATCCATTCTATAATAACCCAAACACAAATCTTCTCCTTCCTTAAACCTTCAGGTAAATCCTCCTCTGAGAAGGGATCTTCCTCTTCTTCCAAATCCTTGGATCCTCCTTGGTTTGGAGTTCCCGGTTTAGTGTTTCTCCCACTAAACCCGGGATTTAGATTCCCGGACCTTGGAGTCCGACCGGAAACCATATCCGGATACGTCGGAGTAGGAGGATCCATCAATCTAGATCTAGTCTTCATCTTCATCAAAGTCTTAGTCCTCATCGTCGATCTATTAGAGGTACACTTCACAACCTCTGATCCATCTACTCTGTTTTCTTCATCTTCACTACTATCACCATCTTTAACAGACGGAGAAAGCGTGACTCTGTTCTGTCTCCGTCTAATCGCATCACCGGTTCCATTACGATAACTCGCCGTCACTGGCGCGGTTACTGGTGAAGCAGAACCGGAAACTGCCGTTGACGACAGAGGAGGAACCGTATTTTTTTGAAGCTCAGGCATGTTAGCTTCCATGTCGAGAGAGATTTCATCACCGGAAGCTTTTTGCTTGTTGAGAAATTGATTTATAAGCTTCGACGGTGGATCTGGCTCCTCCGATTTCTCACTACTCCGCCGCATGAAATCAAAGCTTCCGTCGTCTTCTTCACCTCCGGGTGGTTTAGAGCTCTTATCATTATGCCAGAAGTTAATGCTTGACTCTCTCCAAAACTTTTCTGAGTCACCATTGTCTTCACCGTCGATCCTTACAACAAAATCTCGCCGTTGATCAGTTGAATCAACGGCCATGTTAGAAGGAATGAAACTTTCTATAGTAAAATCTCTCCGAGATTTTTGTTTTTCTTCAAAGTAAAACGTTCGTTTATATATTTTTTTGAGAAAGAGGAAAAAGAAAAGTTGGTTCTTGATTTCTAGATGTAATGGTAATGTTGATTTTTCTAAATATTTAAATCTTTTTGATTGATTTTGTTTTATTTATTTTTGGTAATGTTGAACCATGTGAGATTGTGATGATCTTGCTAGGGCTAAAAAGACAATGTTTAAACCAGGTGATATTATCATATTTTCTATTTTCCGCTTCTGAATCATTTTAAAACATTTCACGACTACTCAGACCAAAACATAGACTCGTGTCTCGCTCTCACGCAAACTACAAAACAAAAAAAACACTCGATTAAAAAGTCAAAAGTAACACAATTGGTGTTGGAACTTGGAAGCTCGAGATTTTTTATACAAGAAAATAATTTTTTTTTTTAAAGTAATTTTGTTTTATTTTAAAATTAGTTATTTGTAAGCTAGTTATTTTATATTTTAAAATTGTTGAAGAAAAAATGGGGGCCATGTTCACTGTCGAGAAACGAAGCAGTTGAAGAAGTAATAAAAATTGTTGTACCACAAATTAACTAATAAATAAACCTATCGGATTGGTGAAACTAGCTTACGTGGTGAGATCTTACGGCGCGAATGTGATAATGAATTGACTAATGGTATATGAGTCAGGCACGTGGTTGGCTAATCTTTGGTCTCCTTGTAGTTTTTTTTTGTTTTGTTTTTGTGAGGCGTATATACGAATTTTAAACGATACCTAATTCGAAACAAGTAGAAAACGACACGAAAATGACACGTTTTTTGATAAAACGGCAGGTCGATTAGGATACAAAATGCAGCTTAGGTAACGTGTGAACAGAGACACATGGTTCAATAAGAGTGGTCAGTTTTCATATACCCCGATAATTGTCTAATGTGAATATAAAATGTAATAATTATTACTGGCCAGATAAAAGAATAACAATGTATTGTGATTTTTTTTTTTTTTTTTTTTTTTTGTGAAAGGGTTTATATTATTGTGACTATTATTTTATTTGCAAATTTAAATGCATGAATCAGAAGAAAACAGTTTGATACATGTGACCAAAACATAAAATAAAAAGCTGTTTGATGCATGTGAATGATACAAATAGATTTCCTAGATTTGTTTTCCGAAAAGTGAAAAAATCATTAATTGTTTTAGATATTTTGAAAAAAGAAGATATAATGGTTAACTTTGGTCTATGGTTACACAAACTTGGGAAGGCATATTGGATCAATGATTTGTATCAATTTAGAAACATTCTAAACTGTAAATCGTCTCCTCGAATCATTTGTAAATTACTTTTGATATTATTTTATAAAGAAGGCCTTTTAACAAAAAAATAATAATATGATTTTATAACAAAATCCATGTTTTCCAATTAGGGGAGATTGTAAGTTTTTTTTTTATAAATGACTAATCCAATATCTTACACCAGAAAAAAAAACTTTCCATATCTCAACGGGCCTAACTAGTTATCTTATTGGGCTCATTCAGTTCATTAAAATAGCCCAATATTCAACTCTTGTTCTATCTTAAAGTCCCATATCGCTTATCTTACAAGTGAAAAGAGTAACATTTATCATTAGAGTCGGTTTGACAAAAAAAAAAAAATCATTAGAGTCGAAGATGAGACTGTCACCTTCACTAAAGTTGGAACGATACAGAGAATATTAGCATGACCCCTGTGCAACGTTGACACCCTTTACTCGATAATTGGTCTAATTTTTTTTTTGAAAATTTTCTAGATCGACGATGTGCAATTTGTGCATTGTTTGCAACTCCGACGATTGGAAACCTAAATTTCCGGTACAAATTTAATTAAACCGGATGGTTTGGTTTATTATATGTTCTATATTATTCTGGTTTGGAGAATCATTTCTTCTCTTCTAAAACCCTTTGCGTCTCTTCTCTAGAGAATCTCTCGGTTGCTCCAATGGCTGGCTTATTGGTTACTATTAATCACTGAATCTCACAAATTGATTTCGCAAGCTGACTCCTTTGAAGCCATGGCGATTCTGCTCAGATCAATTCTCAAAAATCAAACTTTGTTTAAGACTCTCTTGAAACCTCAATGCGCGCCTTTGATTGTCTCCAGAAACTTTACATCGGAAGAAGCTTATAAGAAGCCACTCTCTGTTTTCTTCGAAGAGGCTGTTGGATTGAGACCCAAATCAGAAACGAGCGAAATCGAAGAAGAAGAAGAAGAAGGCAACGAGTTGAAGAGAAAGCTTTTGGAATTGGAAAGGAAACTCATAGAACTGAAGAAATCGGAACCTGTGAGAAAGAAAAAACAGAAGGGAGAGGTTGTGATATCAGAGCAAAACGAGAAAAGGCATAATCTTTACAAGTTGTTTAAGGGAGATGAAGAGAAAGAGGTAAAGAAACATAGTAAGGAAAAGGAGGACGTAATTAGGGTTTATAAGGAGCTTCCTATAGAGATGGTGTCGTTTGTGAGGCTTCTGCATAAAGAAGGGTATTTGAACAAGGCTAATTTCATTACTGGAGAAAAGTTGGATATGGGGAATCTTGATGAAGAGTATGCTAGAACTTTTGTTAAGTTTGCTGCCGAAAGATTTGGAAAGGATTACCAGGAGATAGCAAAGTGAGAATCTTTTTACTTCTGTATTGATCATATATTGTATTTATTCTGTTAGATTGTTAAAAGTTTGGATCAGTGATCCTCCTTAGGCTTCGTTTAGAGAAAATGTATGTGAAAAATGTTCATCTTCAGCTGAAAAACTTGTCAGTGAGTTTGCATTGTAGTATATGTAACATTTCGTGTGGAGTATAGGTTGGGGTTGGAAAAGGAGGGGTTCACTGCTAGTTCTTTAGGAATGAGGAATCTTTTGTGATGAATTGAGCTCTTGTAGTTTGATCGCACGCTACTTGTAGCATTGGTTGAGAAATTCTGATGTAAGAAGTTGTTAATACATTTGTAGATGCTTTAAATGGAGTTATTTGGACTGTCGAGTTTTAGAATCTCTTGTACGGTCTTGATTGCCATACCCTGCAGCATTTCATTTTATTTGCTCTTAGTTAAATTGTTGTTTGGAAAATTGATGGATAAAGATTAGGGTTCGTTTAGAGAAATGTTCTTCATGGGTCTCTGATGAAAAACTTGGGCATGTTCTGGTGAAAACTTCTCAGTACGCAGTTCATTTCTATACAGTGCGAAACTGCTTAGCGTTTGCATTGTTGCATGTTTAACATTTCTTGGGGAGTATAGTGGAGTTGGGAAAGGAGGGGTTCAGTGCTAGTTCTAATGGAATGGGGAATCTTATGTGATGAATTGATGTCTCGTGTTTCGGTCATAGGCTAGTTGTCGCATTGGTAGAGAGATTCTGATGTAAGAAGTGATTAATACATTCGTTGATGCCTCAAATGTATGGTCTTATTTGGCTTCATCCCTGAAGCAGTATTTTGTTCGCCCCTTAGCTATTGTTGCAGCTAGGCAGTTTGAAATTGATTCAATCATTCTATTGTCTCCACGGCTTTTTATAACCTCAAATTTAACTTACACAGGTGGTTATCAGGTAGTGACCTGAAGAAGATTGTGCTCTTTGGTTGCCCGAGTTTGGAAAAAAGGGCGGTATTCGCTGCTAAAACATTGCGCAACTTTTTCGATATCCATGAGAATAATGTAAGCCTATCACACACCACACTGTCTCTATCTCATTTTGTAACTCACCAACAGCATCTAACCAAGTCTTTTTTTGTTGCATAATAGGTGTGCGAGAAATGCGTGTTAAAAGAGAAGTGCAAGTTTCCAAACCAGAGTGTATGGGATGGCAAAACAAAGCACTTGCACTTGTCTGTTGTGATGAAAGTCATCACACTATATCCATTAGACTTGACTCATCCGAAGCTACAAGTTCCTATAGAGGTACAAGACTCAGTTTCAAGATTGCTGACGGAGATTCAGAACCTAAGCCGAACTATCTGTACTCCTCTCGCATGAGTTAACATTATCAAATATTTGTTTGTAGTAAACATCAATCTAGTGATCTTGCAAATGGAAGTTGAACCAAAAAAGACTCTTATGAAGAAAAATCCTTCACTTCTACTTTCACTTGCAACAGCTAAGGGTACAGATCCCATAAGTAGTTAGTTATGTTTTCAGCTTTTATCTCGATTTTGTGCCCCTAAATCATCTGTTGAAGAAGATATTTTTTCACTGAGAACAAAGGAATATCATTGTGAACCTTATGGCTGAGCCAGAAACTTTCTGGATAAGTATGAAAGGAATGGGTCTTGTTCAGAAGAGACAAAGGCTTGCCTGAAAAACAAGCCTATCATCAAGAGCCACAGGCATTCCTATCAAACGTGGCGGTAAGGTGATTGATTTGTTTGCGTCTTTCTTCACTTTAAAGTTCACTCTCGCTAGATTCCATAGCATCTCCATACTTAGGATTTTTTGTTAAACTCTCCAAGAGAAAAACATAAAGTTCCAACCTTTTTAGTTTCCAACTTCTCTTGAAACCTAATTTTGATTACAGTGAGTGGATATCGTAAATTTGTGGCTTTCTCGAGTTTCTGAGATTTTGAGCTAAACACTCTGCTTAAACCTCAAGTTCTTACCTTTTTACTCTTAGTAGAGTTGCAAAGTTTAATCCTTTGATAAAATCTCCCGAGATTCCGAGTTTGTCTCCCATGAGGATTTGAATACCGAAGAAAAAATGTCAGTGGAAAGATCTTTGGAAGCTTGGGAAGAAGTTCAGAGACATGGACAAGACTTAGCTGACCGACTTGCTCAGGGCTTTAACGGTTTGATTCAAATCAACCCACCTTCATTTCCATCGAAGCTATTTGATCTTGAGTTCTCTAGTCAGCATTTCGGGATTAGGGATTCTAGGTTTTCTATCCACCAACCCATCAATGGCGTTTCGGCTATTCTTGATATTGGGAACAAGATTGGTCAAGCGGGTGTTGATTTTGGCTCTGGATTGAATGTGATGGTTCAGCAGTTCTTCAGAAGGTTGCCTGTACCGTTCCGACACGATGAGAACGTGTTTGTTTCTACTGAGAGAGATACTGTCACGAGGAGCCATAGGGCTTATGTAGACACAAAGGAGAACTCAGCGTTTTCTAAGACAGATACTGCTTCCTCTGGTACTGTGTATGAGGAGAAAGTTACAGAATTCGATTTAAGGACTATTGGATTACATAGGAGAGCAAAGGTACTTGTTGTAGTTCTGCAATTTCAAGTTTTTATTTTGTTTCTTACTGCAGAGATATCTAGATTGTATTTGAATGTAGGAGATTTCTTAGAGATTGAGAATGAGCATATGCAAAGTTTTGGAATTTAGGTGCTTTCTGATTACTACTATCTTGCGAAAATAGGATTGTTTTAGGCTATGGCTTCAATCAATAAGAGTCTGGAAGAAATTATTGATGTTTTGAATCAAGTTTAATGGAGTTCCTGCCAAGAGTTAAATTTGTTTACAGCTTGCAGTTTCTGCTCCTTGTAGGGAACGGTTGAGCTATCATCAAGTTATGAAACTAGGACAAGTAGTATGGAACATTCGTTAGCAGCCAGGGGAGATCTTTGGAGAGTAGAAGCTTCTACTTCAAATTCCCCTGTGAGAGATGATAGCTCGTCTCTCTTTCTACTCCAGCTTGGACCTCTGTTATTTCTGCGTGATTCAACTCTTCTTTTGCCTGTTCATTTATCAAAGCAACACTTGCTCTGGTACGGATATGATAGAAAGGTATGCTGAAAGCTTCAACACTTGTGTTGGTCTTCACATCTCGAGTTGCTTATTATTTCAATACTCGGGTAATACTCATATGGGAATCTCGTCTCAGAAAGGTATGCATTCACTGTGTCCAGCTTTGTGGTCAAAGCATCGAAGGTGGCTTATGATGTCAATGCTCTGCCTCAATCCTTTAGATTGCGTAAGTGTCTTTACTTAACAATCTTTCTATGTGTGTTTGTTTGCCTTTCTATATTCTTACATAGTGGACTAATGCTCGACGCTTTGTCTTTTTCTGGCACTTGAAACAGTCATTTGTAGACTTGCAATTCCCAAATGGACAATTAACATATGTTTCTGGTGAGGGATTGACGACAAGTGTCTTTGTTCCTTTATGCGGCGGTCTCCTTCAAGCGCAAGGTCAATATCCAGGAGATATGAGATTCAGTTTCTCTTGCAAGGTTGGTTAATAATGATCAAGTATAGTCACAGTTCCTTTATTCAAGAGCTTAAAAACCTGTTTTTCGCCTTTGATGAAACAGAGTAAACAGGGAACACGAATCACACCGATGATAAACTGGCCTGACAAATCATTGGCATTGGGTGTTTCTCAAGCCTTGGCTTGGCGTAGGTCCGGTGTCATGTTGAAACCTGCAATTCAACTTAGGTAAATTAAAAACCCGCCTTCTTTCTTACAGTCAAAATTATTTATTTTTTTTAACTTGCAAACATGGAAACAGTGTGTGCTCTACATTTGGTGGAAGCAATCCCGGGATTAAAACCGAAGTTATTCAGTCGTTGAATGATAATATCAATATGATATGTGGCTGCGCATTCACAGCTCATCCTTCAACATTTGCATCTGTTTCCGTAAGCTAATCTTTCTTTCTGTTTCCATACTCTCTACGGTTGTTATTTGCACTCATTTCAGTTTTTCTCTAAAACCGCAGTTTGGTCGGTCTAAGTGGAATGGGAACATTGGACGAACAGGAATAGTTGTTAGAGCTGATACTCCTCTTCCAAACGTTGCTCGAC